TCCTTCTCAGTAATATGAGGAGTTGTGTCTGTGCCTCACTGAGTCCCTCTGTGCCCCTATCTCTGGTGTGTAGCAGCTGCCCAGGTCAGCAAGGGGAGGAATGAACAGACAGGGAGGGACAGAAACTTGCTGATGGGACCATTCATCAGTGCCACAGCCAGCACATGGCTCCTGCAGCCCATGTCCCTGTGCAGACAGTTCAGTAGCAGCAAAAAGGGCTCACGCTGCCCACCACAGAGTCCAGGCAGGACCCTTGGCCCAGACCTAACCAGAGATGACATTTTTGTTAGAAACAAACTGCTGATTTTTCTGACAGTTCAATCTGTACGTGGGCAGAGACTCTCTGGACACCTTCCTTGACCTTGCTCTGTGGGTTCCCTCCCACCCCAAAGGCCTTCCCTCTCACACTACCTTCAGCCACACTCCCTTTAGCAGACACTTGAATGCGTTTTGCGAGCATTACCCTGTGAAACAAACACCCATCATTTCATTCCATTTCCTTGTCTCTAAAGGCAGCTGTTAAAACATTTGGTAAACATACTTTACCATCTTAAATATTTATTTTTCCTCTGAATTTTTAATACATCTAAGGGGATAAATGTATGTATTAAATGTTTCTCAGTTGGTCTAGTATGTTTCTATTTAATATCTAAGGTCAGATGGTCCTTAGAGAAATACAACATACACACAATCTGTTACATGACAAGGCAAGATACTCATCACATAAAGTCAAGTTGAATCATTGTAGTGCACTGATTATGGATTGTAATAATTGAGCTAATAGAAAGCTATGATGAACTTGATCGAGAGTGGGGGCTATGCTTGGTAAAGCAAACCAGCTCTGCGATCTTTAACCTTGAGTGTTTTCATGAGGAATGTGGAAGGAGCTGTTGGAATTGCTGGTTTTGCCAGGCATCTGTAGCAGCACCAGGCGCTCGCTTTCCAAACCGCCGCCGTCTCTGCCCCTGTCCTGGCCGAGGCTCCCCTTCCTGAGGGGGAGCTGGAGCTGTGGCACTGGTGGCACAGGGTGCACATGGCTGTGGCTGCCTGGGGCAGGCCCTGTCCTGCATGGTCACTGCCGGGGCACCGGGGCTCACTCTGCCCTGAGGATTGCGGCTGCGATGGGAATGAGCGCTCAGGGTGCTGCTACACCACCTTGGTGCATGCACAGGCTCCTCTCCTGCTCTCAGAGCTGTGGTTTTATTCCATTGGGGCTCTTATTTGCTTTTGAAACAAGCTTGTAATTGAACATGCATCAGTCAGTGCATTTCACAGTGAATTGCTTTGCACATAGCTAGTCATGTTTGAATTCAAACTCATGACTTACTGGATGAAAGCAGTTAGCTGAATACTTGTTTGCAAAGTTTTACACACACAGAAAATGCAGTTGCAGAAGGAAAACATAATGAGAGAGTCACCCCAATATATGCACAACCCCTTCTCCATTTCCCTTAGGAAGTCCTGGCTGCCAAGATGTGCCTGTGTCTGCCAAGCACATCAGCAGCTTCTGCCTGTACCAATCTGTTACAGGTTCCTGTCACCCCACAGCTGCATTCCAGCTGTACTGGGAAAGGCCAGGTCGATCCTGGGAGCTGATAAGGCCTAGCTCTGCATTAATCATAACTATGATCCCATAAGGGACTTGTGTATGTCTTGACCTGCAAAGCAGGACATGGGAATGGGAGCTGCCAATGCAAGTATCACCTGCTTGTTCGTGTATGTTTTTCCCCCGCGTGGGCCCAGCAGATCGCAGCCTGTGGCGTGGCGGTGCCGGTTTGTCCTCGTGTCCAGGTGAGGCTCTGAGTGCCCCCAGCCAGGCCTTGGGCTGGGATGTGCTGTGCCATGTCCCTGCCCTGGCCCTGCCGCCCCGGTGAGGGCTGTGTGGCTGCCCCGAGGCTGAACCCTGCCTGTCGACAGCCGGTTCCCTTCCTCTTCGGAGCCAAATAAAACCGTAAGAGAGTGCCAGGTGTCAGCTACAATCCGGTCCCTTCCCACTGTTTTACTGCCACCAAATCCTACAGGTAGCGATCTCTGGTATTTCAGCAAAAGGAGGTTTTGACCCCATTTCATTTTCCATTGCTTATTGTTTCTGTGCATGATGCTGCTGTTCTCATACGTCTCTTTTTTTAAAAGATTTTGGTTTATTTATTGTTTATCTTCATATGTTCTTTTTCCTGTCTTTTGCACTTTCCTCTTTATTTCTGTCCCCAATCATCTGAAAAGTTTGCAAAAGAGTGGGTAAGTGTGTCCTACTTTTATTTTCTTTTTCCCAAATTCCTATATTAATGTTACTGCCATAGAAAAAAATCCCCAAACTGTAGAGCAGTTCGGAGTACCGATCAGACACTGAGACCAGCAGCTAGCATTTGTAAAGCCCTCACAGTCTTCCTTCCCAAAGTCTGATTAGTATTTAAAGCAGATTTGTCTCTTTCAATGTGATTTGATGTTAACATTTTAAAACAATATTAATGCCAAGTGGTAATGAATATAGTGACTAGCACCAGTGCTTGAAATGTTTGACTGAAAAATCAAATGTTTTGTGTTGGAAAGCAGTCATAATCAGTATTTTCTCAGTCCATTGAAAATAAGAATATACTGTATGTTTTCACTAATTAAATCTTGTATTGGAAACAGGTCTTTTCTAAATTAGTAGAAGACTGTATTTTAGTACCTATTCTAGCCATATTGCAGCTGATTGCATCAGAGCTCCCAAGCTAAGCAAGGTTTGGCATGTGCAGAAATTGGGTTGAAGACTCAAATGCTGGTGCTGCAGGCACAGGCCTTGGTCAGCCAGTGCTGAGCTACTGCCACGGGATCTGCCATTGCCCGGGGCTCAGGGCTGCACTGCCTGCTGGCTTTTGCATGGGACAAAAGGCTCGTCGTGGTTTGTTGGGTGGTTTTTAAGTCTATCTCACAGTACAAAACAGCAGAGCATTTGAACAAGTGCTTAACTGGAGCCATGTGCCCGCTGACCCCGGGGTAACACAGGTTCAGCTGCTTTGCTGCAGCAGGTGGGAAGGGTGCAGCACCACTGCCAGTGGCTGAGCCCACTGCCAGCTCCCCCAGAGCAGCACATCCTCCCCATTCCCACGCTGAGGGCTGGGTGGTTTGCTGTGCCCTTGGAAAGGGCAAGTGCCTGCTCCCCTCCAGCAGCAAGTGTGTCCCACTGTCCGCTGCAATCCATGTGCCAGGACAGGATAATGCCCACAGAAGTGGAGCAAAGGCATGTCAGAATCTCTAGGAGCACTGGGTGCTGGTTCTCACAGGGATGGTAGAGCCTCCCCTCCAACATCCATACATGGCTCCCAGAGCTGCGGGCACACGGAACAGGGCAGGGTTTGCCCATGCTTCAAGACTGATGCAGGATTCTCCTGAATTCAAGGTCTCTCCTACAAGTGTAAGTAGTCACTGGTCACTGCAGTGGGACCCAGGGTAATAAGCTGCATAATTATTTGGTTTAATACTATGTATTGTGGCTTACCAAGGGAAGAGACTGACAAGTGTAGAGCTGTTGGCTGTGATCAATGCTAATATTTTCCTCCCCCTCTCCTTTTATTTTTCTTTAGCACCAGTACCATTCAAAAATAGATGAACTAATTGAGGAAACCGTCAAAGAAATGATAACACTCCTAGTGGCAAAGGTAACCCTCGGCTTCAGGTGAAGTGATTCACTGTTAACATTGCATTTTTAATATGTGCGTTTCCATTAAAATGTGACACATTAGGATGTTGAATTGGCTTCTTGTTTCTCACAGGCAAGATCATACATCTCCCAGTCCTTTCATGGTGATTCTTTGTTGATAAGGAACTGCGTGAGACGTAATACTCTGCTAGCAGGATTACCATACTGGGCCAGAGGTGGCTTTAAGGAATGGGTGTTATGTTCATGGGGTATCACCCCATGGTCAGCATCACCTCACAGCACTGGGGTAGCTGTAGTCAGGGGGTGGCACTGCTAAATGCTGCTGCAGAGCCATTGGGGTGGCATGCAGAGGTGGTCACCACTCCTACGCATGAGGTTGTGTGGACAAAATAGCTCATCTTGTGCAAAATCACCATATGCTCTTCTAAGAAATTAATTTAGAGATGACAGTAGTGGGAAATACATTCCAAAATGTCAGGTTTAATTGTTTGGAAATTGTTTTTCATCAGAGTCAGCTTCTGTAGCTCAGCTGCCAGCATTCCCCTTGGGTGGTTGTGTAGGTCTGGTGTGCCGTGCTAACACGGAGGGGAATTGGTATGTAAGGAGAAAGATGGTGGGGTGTGTTTTCTTCTAGTTTCAAACTTTCTGAGAACAAGTCATCCCTATTATACAGTGGAGACCTTTAAACATAATCCGCCAACATATGCCAGTTCAATTCTTCTGCAAGAATACCCAGCTAGCTGCGTGCTTGCCACTGCATACTGGGAGCAGGAGCCCCAGCCTTCCCCACCCAGAGAGGCTCTGCTGGATTCCCCACACACTGCACCCAGCTCCTGTCCCCTGCACCACCCAGGATGCTGAGGGGTGATTCCCAGTCAGCAAGAGTTGCACCACAGCACCTAAAAGGAAGAACTTCTTTCTCCCCACTCCCACCCATTGTGCTCAGGGGTAGGTGGTCCATTCCTTTGGCAATGCTGAGAGGTCCACTGGCTCCTTTGAAGGTGATGCAGATTTTTACACGCTTGTCCACCTATTAAAAATAACTGCAGTATTTTTTGTCTTTGTAGTTTGTCACCATTTTGGAAGGAGTCTTGGCCAAACTGTCTAGATATGATGAAGGAACTTTGTTTTCTTCATTCCTGTCATTTACTGTAAGTACAGACTATAGTTTCCAGGGTTTTGGGGGTTTTTTTTCTGAGTTGTAACTTCCTGCTCTCTCAGGACTAGATCAGCTACCTAATAATTCTTCCTTTCTGTGATGCTTGATCACTCCACATGAATAGACAAATTATCTGTATGCAGATATACAGTAGATAAACATCCAGGATGCACAGAGAAAAGCCATCTCCATCCATGATTCGCACTTGGTGAAGTTTATTCTGTAGAGGATACAAATGAAGATGAAAAAAACCATTGCACTGTGCATGCAATTATCTTCATTATTGCTTCACGTGACGGGTGTATTCCTCTCAGTCTTCTGGCCATAACAGTGACCATCTTAAATAGTAAACAGCAAAATAAGGCAGCTGTAGGGAGTGACAATGTGTTTCTAAAAGAAAACAAGGTAGAGGAAATTCCATGAGGTCACAATACACCAGATGCCTCTAATGCCATATTTCTCCCTAACACTGAGGAACCAATCCACAGCTCACCACATACTTCCTAGCAAGGTATAGGACCAGACCAATATCTGTGCAAAACTGGCCTCAGTATCCAGCAATGGTTTAACAATCAGAGCTGTATTCCAGAAAAGTGTTGTGACAGCTTCTTAGGATGAACACATGGCAGCTGATTTCCAAAGGTCTTCTGAAAATGCATGTGCCAGAAAGTTTACAAGAGTGTCTCTGTGCAAGCAGGACTTCACTTGCTCAGCTCACAGACAGTTGTGTACAGGAATGCCTGTGGCTGGGCTGCTTGGAAAGTTGTGTTCACATTTCACACCCCGGCCCTGTTGCCTTCATGTGCAGCCTCTTCTGCACTGACTTGTTCACAGAGACTGGGCAAGAGGCAGAAGGCACTGCTCTGCAAACTGGGAAGGCTTTCCAAAATCTCATTTTGGAGTTGTCTTAGTTACTTGCAAATGTCTGCTGTTTGCTACTCTTGGGCCCTTTCGCTGAGTTTGAGGCAGTTTGTAGGATCCATCTGGAAATGGAGATGGATTTAGGAAGGCTTAACAGCAGAGGCAAGAAACTGCTCTTGGCAGCTTTGTGCACACAGTCTGGCAGCTTATCTGAACCACCATGGGGTTCAAACTAAGCATTCTGCCTTTTCAGGTGTGCTGGAGGCACTTTGTTCTTCAGAGAAGAGAGGAAGGGAGGGTGTTCCATTCACTGCCCCACAGTGCAGCTCTTCTGCAGGATAAATCCCGTGTGGTTACAGCCCCAGGGCTGTGCTCACCTGTGCTTGAGGGGATGCAGGGGATGGCTTGGGTTGGATACCTGGATACCTTCCTTCATTCCAGTGCTGTGAAGGGTTAGGAAATGCTTGTGTGCCAGCAGCAGAGGATGTGGAGGCGGCAGCTTTCCAGGCATCGGAAGTACCAGCATCAGCCGGTGTAGACAGTGTAATGTGCAGCCCTTCCTTCTCCGTGAATCCAAGCTGTTCCTCGGTTGATGCTGCGCTGCTCCCACCACATCCTACTGTTTACACTGCCGAGTGCTGCTCCCTTTGATTGCTGAGCAAAGCCCTGGCTGCACCTGGGCTCTGGGCACCTGTCAGGACCAGCACGTGGGTGCATGGGGTTCAGGCATCCTCTCTGCTGCTCCTCAGACACTTACTGGCAGTTAACTGCCCCAGCAGCAGCTAAACAGTCTGTCCCACTGCAACAGCTTCACCGCCTTCGACCATGGTCCCAAAGCCTGGATTTCATGAGTTTTCAGTCAGGAAGGGATGTATATCCAAATAGCTGCTGTGCGTGGTGTGTGCATGTCTCCAGGAAAGTGTTGGTCCCTCGCCCACAGCAAGTGGGCTGGGCACACGACAGAGGAGCAGGATTGCTCCTTCCTGACAAAGGGACGTCTCTCGCTTTGGCCCCCATATTTGCTGGGAGCCACTGGGAGAGGAGGCTGAGGAGCAGCCCTGACCCCTCTGGCACTGGGCTTAGCAAGTCTCCTCTCCCTGCAGTAGTAATGTGACTTGCTGTGTTTAGTCTTTGCAGTGATAAATACAGAATCTCTCTCTTGTTACAGCATGCTTGCAGCACCTCCCACGTTTTCCCTGTCTGAACAAATACAACAAAGTGTGATGGTCCAAGCCACTGAGCTCCAGAAAGCATTAGTCTCCCACTCCCTTCCACCAACTTCTTTCATCGCGTGTTTTCCAGGCGCTCTGCAAGTGACATGTACTCGGGGGTCTTGTGACAGACAGTTTTATCACCTAGTAGGATATCCTTATTTCCAATTCCTGCCTCGAAATTCAAGATAAAATTAATGCATCTGTTGTCCTAATAAATTCTCACTAGCCACTTCTCCTTGCAGAGCACTTTGAGAGGAAAACACCCTTCTAAATTTGGCCAGACTTTTTTTTTTTTTCTGTTTGTTGCTACATTTGAGTGCATCTTGGCGGCAGCAGCCCAGGCCCTGGCTGGGTGTCTGCATGTGGAGATCCACTGACTCTCAGGAATGGCAGCTGCTAAAATTTCCTGTAATCTGGATGGCCTCCGTAGGCAGAGCATTACACCTGTGGTAATTATAACCAAAGATTCCATGTTACCCAAGGGAGACAGAAGTAAAAGATCTTATTTTTGTTCTGCGCAAAATTTGTATGGTAAACTGAGATGTTTCATGGCAAAGTCACATACTTTGTGAAAAACGGCAGCCTAGCAAAAATCACACAACATCCGGCAGTTTGGAAATTTCACTAAATGTAGCCAAATCTGACTTTAAAGAAAAACAAGTAATTATTCTGATTAAAGGAGAGTGGGCAGGAGAAGCAGCTCAGTTTTTTTGTGGGTGGAGGGAGGAGATCGCAGGAAGCTGAGTTATTCTTGTCGCCTCTTGGCTTTGGAGAAGGTAGTTTGAAAGTGGCGCTAAGCTGGACTCAAGAGTGCTAAATCCACACTCAGCTGGCAGGTTTGCCTCTGCCTGACTTCATGTTCCATGTGATATTTGAAGGTACAGGTGTAACCCTGAGCAAGGACCCCAGCTTGAGTTCTGCAGGCTGTTGAGCCACATTGTTTTCCAGGCTTTCCTCCTTTTCTGCTCAGAAAAACTGCTGGTTTGGTGCTTGCATGGGCACCCTGCCTGCGTGGGTGTGCCATGACTGCCTGCTCTCCTGGAGCTGCATCCGCTGGATGGGCTCCAGCTGCTTTCACACACGGAGGCTGAGGCTCCTCCGCTCCCATTCCGCAGGAGCAAGGGACAGCACTTCACCACCTCCCAAGAAAGTTGTGAGGATAAATGCAGAGAACAGGGCAAGGTGTCCAGCCAGCTGGAAACACGAATACCTGGAGACAAGTGTTTGCTCTGGTGCCGATTTTGCTGCCTCCTTCGTAAACTCGTGTGCTGGGACATGCCCCGTCCCCCTGCAGCCTCTCCGGCAGCCAGCCCCGGGGTCTCACGGCAGCAGCAGGCGCTCGGTGCCCTCCTCCTGCCCTTCCCTCTGTTCTTGCCCCCCGACTCGGCAGCCTGGGCACTGCCAATACTCGCCGCGTTCACCTCGGCAATTACCACCAGTCTGGTCTTTTGTATCGCCTCATTGTGCTTAATTATGCACCCCCCACACACACCATATGAGTGCTTCCACCCACTCTCACATTCTGTCTCACACATACATTCATTCTCTCATTCGGGACACATAATTTATTCATCCCAAGATGCAACTGTGTGCGTGTTATATTTAGGCTGTTTTAATGGTAGCTTTAGAAATATTTAAAAGCAGGTGAGCTTTTACACCCAAACAAAGATGGCCGGCAACGCTTACCCTAATTAAAAGCAGAAGCGTTGTGGAAAATCCCAGCCATACTCTTTCTAGACACTGTGCCTTATGCTACAGTGGGAAAAAGGTCTCTGTGGCCAGCTGGGCACTGCTCAGTTGGAAGAGTTGGCCCTGACGTCAGGGGCCACCCCGCCTCCTGCGCCAGGCAATGTGCACCCTGCTGCATGGAAAAACCACAGACAAAGTCAGTTTGGGGTCTTGCGGCTTGTGATAACACCACAGGGTGCAGTGTCCATCTCTGATACCCTCCCTCCAATAGCATCTTCTAAAAATGACGGAGCTGTTCAGTCTGGGAAGCAGAAAAGCTTCAGGGCACTTCTGCGTGGCATGGCACGAGCACACTGCCCCAACATGGTCTGCAAGCTCTTGCCTTGTCTTGCAAGCATCAGGGCCAGCAAAAAGGGGGAAAACAGTTTTTGTTTTGAGTTCACTGATATGAGGGAGGAACAAGTGCAGAAGAGGCTGCATGTCAAGGCAACAGGGCTATGTTGTGAAACAAGAGCACAACTTCCCAACCAGGCCAGCCACAGGCTACACTTCTTAGAAAACCCTCAGCCCAGCAGAGCATCACAGAACGGTTTGGGTTGGAAGGGACCTTGAAAATCATCTCGTTCCAACCCTCCTGCCACAGGCAAGGACACTTTCCACTATCCAGGTTACTCAGGCAGCCTGGTCTTGACAATATCCCAGGTTGCAGCTTGCACAGCTGGGGGAAGCACTGTGGCAGGACATGGGACGTGGGCAGGATGATGGGAAAGGAGCAAAATTAGGGTCCTTTGGGTGCTTTCTTGTGTCTAGCTTGGTACAGGCCCCTGCCAGCCTCACCATGCCATCATGCCCCTGCTCCCAGGGGAGCTGCCATTGCTCCTGGGATACAGCTCCCAGCAGGAGAGACATGCAGTGCCTTGGGAGACACGTGGCATCAGGTGGAGAGCGAGGCCTCCAAAGAAAATAACGATGTCTTCTTACGAACCCCGTCTTCCCCCGCTCGCTGAAGTAGAAGCACAACTCCCACACTATCATCTGCTGCTATTAGAGCTTTAGCAGCAGTAAAGTTACCTCTCCAAAAAAAAACAACAACAAAAATACCACCCTTTTAGACAGGAAAGTGAGTTTCATCACCCTTTTCAACCTACTCAGCATTATGTTGTCCCAGGTCTTGGCTAGAGATTGTCTTACAGAGTTTAAAGAATAAAAGAAAAGACCTGAAAAGGTATTGATGGTGTTAAAACTCTCTTCTTGTTCCTTTTACAGGTGAAGGCTGCTTCCAAATACGTGGATGTACCCGTAAGCACAATTTAAACAACTTCTGTCATAGTAATTTGCATCGTGCTTTGGTTTATGGCATGTGTAGCAACCCACATTATGCATTATCAGCCAAAATTGAGCCATGGGCCTTCATACTTCTAACATTTGAACTGGAAAGGATATCTCCATTATGTTAATAATGAGCAGTTACCCTCTTATGGAGACCTATGAGGCTGTTTAGGCAACAATTTGCAGATGGTGTCAAAAAGGTACCATATTTATGCAATTGGCTTGAATCACATTTGAAAAAAAAAAAAAATGGGAGCAGTGCATTCTGTTAATTCTTCATTTGGACTTGTACAAATACAGTATAATTTCCAAACAAAAAGTCCAGACATGTTAGAACTGAGCCAACACACATCTAACACATTAGCTAATCTATTTTATTTTTGTTCTTCTAATTGTTGGTTTATTTTACTCTTTTGGAAAATGACTTTTTTATTACTTTGGGGAAATGGTGATGAGCTACCAACATGTGTTTGGGAAATTGTTAATGAAAATAATTTTTTCCATTTTTCTGTAATTGGTGTAGGAAAACTGTACATCGTCTCCTCTAATTAGACCTTGATTCATAAGGAAAAGAGCCCTTAATGTTCTTAGACAGAGCACTTAACTTGCCAGAAATTTACATTTAAATTAAGTTGAAGTGTAATATATGAATGTTGGCTGGAATAAGGGGTTACTGTAACATTTACAGGCAGAAAGATCCTGAGCAACTGCAAATGCAGAAAAATAGATCTTTATATACCACACCAGTTCCTGCACCTGGTTAGACTGGGTGGTGGAAATCAAGAATAACTCGGCTGAGTTTGATGATGTGTGTATAAAATGTGTGTATATTTAATGCAGATGTATTTTTCTGCATGTCCTTATATGACAATGTGATAAATTTATCAGACATCTTGGACCACGTCATCTGCATTTGGTGTTTTCAGCCCTTTAGCCCAACCTAAATGTTGCCTACAAAATTATCACATCTTTAGCCTAGCATGGAAAAGACAAACTCTTGAACAGTAAGAGGTGTTGCTTGATTTAAAGTACCACAGTGCAGATCTTGGCATCCTGTTATCTTGGAGTAATAGAAGCAAGATTTTGAGAGTCTTGGGAAGAAAAATTCAGAATTTATTTCTTTCCCTGAAAATGTGGAGGTCCTTCAGATGAAATTCCTAGTTGTTTCAGTGCATCTTAAATATTTAGTCATCAGGAATTTGAACACAGAACAGTTCTAGGTGAAACATGATCTTCTCTGAGGCCTCTGTGTTCCTGGAAAGTAAAGCATCTCCAGGGAAGTGGTCTTAGTAAAATGCTATGTAACCCTTTCAAGCTTTTCCAAAAAGAACCTTTGTACCTTGGACATCCTTGGGAGGTCTGCAGCAGGGTCTGCTCCTCTCCTCAAAGCCAGACAGATGCTCCAGTTCTTTGTGTAAATCAGAGCAGAAATCATTCACCTGGGTTCATTTTCAGCTGTTTCCCCACCTGCCCCTGGAAACAAAACCAGATTACACTGGCTTCCTTGACAG